CTCTCCGTGACTCTGACTGCCGACAGCAGGGTCCTTGCCCGCTCCTCTCCGTGACTCTGACTGCCGACAGCAGGGTCCTTGCCCGCTCCTCTCCGTGACGCTGACTGCCTACAACAACATCCCCTCCGCGCCCGCTCCTCTCTTTTCATGTTTTTCTCATGTGTAAATGTTGAACTCATGGCTACATGCAACCTATCTACCAAAATTTCCCAACTCTTCTCCATTCCGTTACCTCATTTATGCTGCTATTTAATTGGGAATTGCCAAATTAAAATGCTGTTGTTGTTGTTGAGGTTGTCAGTTTGCAACATTTATAGCTCCTTCCACAATTAGACCTGACAGGGTATTAATACAGAAATGAAGAACACCCAAGTAAGTCACTTGTCAGGTCATATAAATATCTGTACACACATCAGTGGAAAATAAAGATTATATCATTTCATACAATAGCGTCGCACAGAACAGGGAAAGCTCTCTTAATGAATACAATTACATTACTGAAGCACTATTGCTGGAGGCTGTCCACTCACCCATCATCCCAGAGGAGGGAGGGTTGCGCTGGATATCTTCAGCTGTGTTCTCCTGCATGATGTTCCAAAGCTGCCATTGCATCTTGGGATTTATAATATAGAAGGGCTGGTCTGGATTCTTTTGACGATATATTTTGTAATTCTCAAAGAAGTTATAGTCTGGATGACTATACCACTGGGAGAAAAAAAATTAAACACAGACATATTGAAAACCAAGATGTAGGATGGCATTTGTTTGTTTCACCTTCCCTTAAAATAAAGCTAAAATGCTTGTTGCCATTCTGAGTGCAGTCAATGAAATCCTGCCTGATTTGAGTGCTCTCAGATAAAATATAGCAGAGACAAGTTCCATTATAAAGCCAAATTAAGTAAGCCACTATTTAAACTTCATCTAAAAAGAAATATGATTGATACTTTAAGCATCCCAATAACACCATCATGTTGCAACAGTGCAATTGAAGAATAACGCGCAAGTTGGCACTGATTTCACTGTAAATCAGTAGTTTCTAATTCCGTATTGCATAGTAAGTGGTGCATGCATGAATATTTATCCATGGTAGATCATAATGCCAACATTAATAATAAAGGCGTGAATTGGGGAGCCAGTAGCAATCCAACTTCTCCTGTGCAGAGTACAAGTATAATTTCACTCTATCTCTGTACTGCAGACGCAAAAGTTGAGGAACACCACACAGGTCTATACTGCAGAGATATGCTGATAAACAATGTAGGTAAAACCCGATCTATTTGTAACCATGCCTGATACCTGTTACCCATCCTAAAGATGCAGTTACAAACTTACGAATTAGGAGCAAGAGTCTCCTCTGCCATTTAATAAGATTATAGCTGCTTACTTCACATACCTACCTTAGTAACCTTCACCACCTTGATTTGCAAAAATCCATCCATTGCAGCCTTAAAAAAAAATTCAAAGTATCTGCTTACACTGCATTTTCAAAAAGAATTCCAAAAACCCACAGCCCCCCATGAGAAAATAAAAAGTCTTCCCTTCTTTCTTCTGAAATGGACTGCCCCTTATGTTTGAATACATTCTCCCACAAGAGGAAAGATCCTTTCCACATTCACCTTTGAAGACCCCTCAGAATCCAATCAAGTCACTTCTCACTCTTCTAAATTCCAGGCCTAGCCTCTCCAGCCTTCCCTTTCTTTTATACATTCAATGGGCATCACTGGCTGGACCCACATTTATTGCCCATCCCTATTAGCCCTTGAGAAGGTGATGGTGAGCTACCTTCATGAATCACTACAGTCCATTTGCTGTGGTTGACCATCAATTCTGTTTGGGATGGAATTCCAAGAGTTTAACCCAATGATTCTGAAGGAACGGCAATATATTTCCAAGTTAGGATGGTGATTGGTTTCGAGAGGAACTTGCAGGTGGTGGTGCTCTCATGTATCTGCTGCCCTTGTATTTCTACATAGGAGTAGTCACGGTGCTGTCTAAGGAGCCTTGGTGAATTTCAGCAGTGCATCTTGTAAGTAGCACACACTGCTGCTACTGAGTGTCTGCGGTGGAGGGACTGAATGTTTGCTGATACGGTGCCAATCTAGTGGGTTGCTTTGTCCTGGATCTTCTCAAGCTTCCTAAGTTGTGTTGGACTCCATTCATCCAGGCAAATGGAGACAATTCCACCACACTCCTGACTTGTGCTATGTAGATGGTGAACAAGCTTGGGGGTCAGGAGGTGAGGTACTTGCTGCAATATTCCTAGCCTCCGACCTGCTCTTGTAGCCACTCTGTTTATGTGGTAATGGTTAAGCCACAGGGTAGATTCACTCTTGTTCAAGATTATCATTGCTTGGCATTTGTGTAGCATAAATGTGTTGTGCCACTTATCAGCACAAACTTGGATAATGTCCTGGTCTTGCTGCATTTGGAAGCGCTTCCAAATTGCTTTTACATTCTAGGTCCCTGAACTTAGATTCTGTCTCTATTATGGTAGAGCAAACCTTTCATTATTGCCTAATCTTCCTAAATGTCATTTGTCCTTCAATATTGTAGATATCGATGTAGGTCACCCTGCAGCTATATCAGAGTAATGGCTGTCAGAATGTATGTATTTATTTATTTATTCCTATTAGTTAATCTATTTTTAACTGCTATTTACATTCAGATACAGCACTGTTAGTTCTGTTTCCTTTTTGTTTTTTTTAATCTCTATCTCTACCTGTTGAATTACACTTAGGTTTGTATTCTCTATCCCTTCCTGTAACAGACATAGTAGGAACTGCAGATGCTGGAGAATCTGAGATAACAAGGTGTAGAGCTGGATGAACACAGCAGGCCAAGCAGCATCAGAGGAGCAGGAAGGCTGACGTTTCGGGCCTAGACCTCTTCTTCATCCAGCTCTACACCTTGTTATCTCATATCCCCCTTCCTGTAACAAACTGTTTTATCATTTTTCACATTAATGCTTTCTCTCTTGCTTTGTTTCTACCCTTTTTTTTTTAAACACCATCTTCAGAAATTTGATCCCTGGTCACCAATATTTCTTCTCAACTTCCCTGGTTATACAACTAACTAGAACACTGGTTCCAGCACAGTTCTGATGTAGACGGTCTCAACAGATCAGCCCCGACTGTCACTTTTAATGATATCAGTGACTCACAAAATACAACATATTCCTACCACATCAGTCTTACAGACAAGCACTCAATTCTCAAATGTTATTTGCCCAATACCGATTTGCATGAGGCTCAGCTAATAATCCAGAAATCATTGCGTTTTTGAGGTTCTTCTTCCTAACTTGGCACCCAGTTTCCCATACTGATTAAGTAGAACATCTTTCCTTGTCCTGCCTATTGCTACTTTACTTCCACAGCACTTAATACTTGTTTCTCAAGGAAAAAAAAAGCTTGCAAGTTACAATTCATAAGCCATGGAAATGCTCAGGAGAACAGTTTTTAGCGAATACAACTTAAAGGTGTTGGGGGACCTGCATTCTAACAATTGGATCTGTTATGCTTAAGACAGCAACTGGGGCTTGAGAATCATGGACTGAAGGAACTGTTGTATTAATGACTTGCCCAAATCTCTGACCTCACTACATCCATTGAATTTCTGACAAACATATTGCAAAATGGTCATTTAAATGTTTTCTGTTTCATCAGGTTGCCAAACAGTATCAGTCCCAATAGCTGTGGTTTCGAATGGAAGCGTATTTTGTTTCTATTGTTCCCTTGTTTGGAATCTTTGATCAACGGTATCAGTGTACGAACTACTAAGCTGGAGATAATTTTTTGTTGATCACATCACTGAAAGATTCCTACTTCCAATTAATCCAAAGATGAATTGCAGAAGATTACACTTTTGTTTTTGTTCTGAATATGTTTGATTGCATGTTATGCAGAAAGCAAGAAGTGTATCTTTTCTTTGTTTCACACTTAAAAGACAGAAAACAGTACAGCTGCATTTAATATCTTTTCTCTTTATATTCTATTTTTAATATCTAATTTCTAATAATATAGCAGCTCAGAGGACAAATGCTGGCCATCAGATAGAATATTCTATAATGATATTGAATTATATATTCTCAGCTCCCTTTTACTGATATAAAAGCGAGTTTATCCATGCACTATCATGTTTCAGAAATGCTCAAGAAAGCATCTCAGAAGTATTGAATGAAGAATCTGAGAGGTATTTGTTAGATTGTTTGTTTGATTTTTATCGGTGTAGCATCATAGAGTAATAGATTATTAAAGGATGGAAAGAGGCCCTTCACCCCATTGTGACTGTGTCACTCACCATGCACGTATCGAATCCCATTTCCCACCACTTGGCCCATATCCTTGAAGGCTACGGCATTCCAAGTGTACATCTAAATGCTTCTTAAATGTTGTAATGGTTCTAGCCTCCAGTACCCTTTTTAGGCAGCGGGTTCCAGATACCCTGTACCCTCTTGGCGTAAAGAATTATCAGTGTGTATTGACATATGATTATAATAGCGTCAACATTGAATTCACAGTCATTGGCGTTTGGAAGAATGAGTGATGGTTTCATTGAAACATATAAGAATCTGAGACAGCTAGGGATGATGGATGCTGAAAGAATGTTCCCTCTGTGAGGAATCTGGAACTAGAGGGCACAGTTTGAATTCTCTACCAAAGAGGGGAGGAACAAGATTGAGTCCTGAGAAATATTCAAGGTTGAGTGTGACAAATTTTTTGATCTATGAGGGAGTGAAGAGTTACTGGACCAGGAGGGAATGAGAATGAAGGAGAGTGGAGTTACTACCACACTTATAATAATACTGTCATTTTGAATGGGCAAGGGGGCTCAAGGGGTAATGTGAGTCACTACTACTCCTATTCCTTATATTCTTATTTCAAGCACAGTTCCAATGCAGGATTAAATGTATAATGTAATATATATCTGCTCATGAATAGAACACTTTCATTGTTCAGAACTTCTACGCAGACACAAAGTGATCTTGCTGATCCATATGCAAGATCTAAGATACGGCGGTGTGCTGAATTTGTGGCAGAATTCAACCCAGATTTGACCAAAGCCCTTGATGAGGCGATAGATGAACAGAATGAATCAGGATGAATCTAGATCGAGTTGCAGAAATCTACAAAGCCAATTCATTGCAATATTTCACGGACAAGAATTTGGCCAAAAACAAAACCCACTAAGATATAAATGGACTACTTCTGTGATTACAATACTTTAGAGGGGGAATCTTCAAGCTTGTTAAAGTGTATTAGTGATGTCTTTGAACTATGACAAGTAACTTGATTCAAACAATGACTATAAAAAGATGTTATCTTGTTTTCACATCCATAATCCTTACATCTCACCTTTGCCCATCAAATTGAAGTAAAGTTTTGGACCAAATTTCTTCCACAAGCTCAAAGTGGGGGTGGGTGTGGGGTGGTGGGGGGGGTAAGGTTGGCGGGGAGGTGGGCAGCAGTTGAAAAATATCCTTTCAGAGGGCTCTGGGTGTGTTTCTTGCCTATTTCTGGTCCATTATTAATTTACCTGCGAGTACTTAGGGCTTTCTGCCTGTTGCTGAATTGTAACAGTCAGTCACATGGACTGAAGATCACGCTGGGCAACAGCAGGCCTTGGTCACCACCTTCTTCTCATCTCACATCTTCGGGCTGGCCCTGAGACACCCACATATCATCCAGTCCATGAAGAATCATGCTGTAAGTTGCACTGCCATGTTTGTTTGGGTATCTCCGCACGTAGAATGTCACCCCCTCCCACTTCAATAATAATCATTGCAAGTCTGCAAATACGTCAGTTGGAACAGCCCTGAAAATCCCAGAGTAGTGCTGTGAGGGAACTGACCTGGCAACATTAGTTTATGCGGCTATTTCCTATTCACTGCACCTAGAACTGGCTTTCTTGAGTTCACCAAATAGGAAGATATGAGAGTATTTTGAAAAAGGACATCCATACCTTTTTACCTCTAAAGTTAATTTACACTAGGAATGCAAGCTTTGTTTATGAATCATTTTCCTCTTTTTCATTTCTAAGTCATTCTAGCATATAGTTGACGAGGCAGTGACAGCTGTCCGAAGTCTCACTTGTGCAGCTGGTCTCAATTGTCATGCCCAGACTGAGTGTGTTATCAGGCTCTGTCTCTCTCTGAATATCACTGTTGGCAGGACTAATGCGGTCTGCACTGAACATCCAGATTGCTTCCAGCAAGAATCACAAGATCAAGGATTTTGGCTGAGTCTATCAGTAAAGCAGCGTAAGCAAAGCTCACATAGTCTTGTGATTTTGTCAGGATATGGTTTATTCTCTTCCAAGTGAACATTTTGGTATTGGCTACATACACCACCTTGTAAGCAGGGTATGCAAGTGAAAGGTTTTGAAATTCCTCAAAAGGTAAAAATATAATAATGCAGGTTAAACAAAATCATACCTCAGTAAGATTAGCTGAATATGGCGATGGATCCCACACTAATAAGCTGCCTGTTCTGTATAAAGTATTATCATGAAACTTGAGCTCTTGTCTTGAGAGGACCTGGGAGGAAAGGTTCTTGTTTAGTATGTGTCAAATGTATTGGTAAAATCTACCTCTGTCAATGAGGGAAGAGCAAAATAGCTTGTTACATATTCAATAATTACACTGAGCTCATCACTTCTATACACTCCTAATACAACTCCACACTGCTTGTCAAAATAAATCTTTAAATAATTATCACCATGTTAAATATTTATCATTTATCTTTGGGAAGTTGGTAGAGAGAGTCCTGTATCTTCACCATAAAGGAATAATGCATTATAGAAATAAGGACCTATCAGAATACACAGTGCAACTAAATATTATTCTTTATTTAATAAAATAGAAATTAAAGCTGCATAACGGGGCACTACAGCTTTCCAAGCAATTTAAATCTGCAAATTTGCACAACAGAAGTTTAATTATAAAACACGTCAAATTTATCAGCTTATATTGTTGCAGCAGGAATTTGTTTTGTAAGTTATTGCTGATTCTTGTCTCTGCCAACTGCTAGCTGTCTGCCGTGTATAAGTTTAGAGAATTGCTCTGCAGACATGTCAGCTCAACAGAAACCCTCAACTTTTTAAACTTTACACTCTCCAGTTTTAATGGGGATAGAAATCAAAGTTCTGGAAGCTGTGGTGGACATTCATGTTTCACCTGCCTGCACAAAAATATGTCATTTTGCAATTCATCTATTAGTGGCAAGGTCACTTTAAGGAACATCTTCTTGGCTGTTTTTGTGTGGGAAAATTAACCCCATCGTGAACAGCAAATGCTGCACATAGCCAGGTAAGCAATGGAATAAATCGCTTTTTAATTTACTAACTTGTCACTGAAGCATATAGTTTCAAAAACAATTTAGAAATAACAGCTTTACTGTTACACAAAAATATGAATTCCTCAGTTCACTGATGCATGGGGTGCATCAACCTGAGAAAAAATTTCTTTTAACATACTACTGTGTATATATTATATCCAAACAACTAGTACGGTATACCTGAAAACATATATAACAAGGGTAAATGTTACATTAATGTTACAATAAATGTTTCAGAATCCATTTGGCTCCAGCAGACTTTTCAAATTGCTTTATTGATGGATTCATGTTTGGGAGTAATAATCAAATACCTGGCACCTGATGTGTACTAGATATTTTAAATCAACCTGTTCAAACAGGTTATGACAGATAACTGGTGCAGGAGGGACTTGAACTCAGAACTTCTGGCTCAGACACTGGGACACTACTAGTGCACCACAAGAGGCATTCTTCTAAATTCCACCAATTGCCACGCCCCATATGTGGTGAGTTAGACTAGATCACCCTGTACCATAGAATTGTTTAAGGCCCTAATATTATTGTATGTCAGAAGAATCTGCTGTAATATGGCTGGAGCAACTAAGCAGCATTCTACAGGCTTTGCATCTGCTTGGAATCTTTAAATATTTTTAATGCAGATGGTAGATAGATTTATGATTCCCGAGGATTATTAGATGATCAGGGGTATGCAGGAATATAGAGTTGACGTTAAAAATCAGATTAGCCTTGATATTATTGAATGTTGAAGCCGCCTCTAAGGGCAGAGTGGACTGCTCTTGTTTCTGTATGTATAGAATAAGACGAAAAGAAATAGAACATTTAGGCCATTAATAGGACAATACGTCTTAGGACATTTGGCCCCTCAAACTGAACCTCCATTCAATAAGATCAGGTCTGATCTGGTTGTGGCCATCAGATTACTACCTGCCACCTATAATATTTGACTCTCTTGCAGATCATGTAGAATGGGTGTTGAAGGGAGCAGTGGAGAAAAGAAAGTTTACTTCACCTGTAGGGTGCTTCCAATAGAATCTCTGTACTTCCCTCCCCCTTGCTCCCATAACCACTTATTGCCAAACGAGGGAAGGAACTGTTGTGCCCCAAACTTGTCCCATGGGCCACTCTGCTTCACATAGCAGGCTGGAGGTTCTAGAAAGTCAGGTTTCAGTGGCTACTCAAGTATTAACACCAGGAATGCTATCAAGTGAAATAAATCAGCTTAGCTTGCATTTTGGAATGAGGTTAACTCACTTACTTGCAATCACAGTCAACACCTCAGGAGCAATGATTCCAGCACAGAGCCATTACATTATTAGCAGTCACATGTCCTTCGTGAGCCAAAACGTGACACAGGGTGTAAGAGTACTAATCTGTAGATTTTGAAAGACTCATTCTTTGAAGAGGTAATGAAAGAGATCCTAGGTGGGGATCATCTGGAGAAACTAGATGATACAGCTGGAGATAGTAGGAACTGCAGATGTTGGAGAATCTGAGATAACGAGGTGTAGAGCTGGATGAACACAGCAGGCCAAGCAGCATCAGAGGAGCAGGAAGGCTGACGTTTTTCTGAAGAAGGGTCTAGGCCCGAAACATCAGCCTTCCTGCTCCTCTG